ATATATATATATATATATAGACACACACGAGCGCACACAATGCACAAGGGAATGAATAAGAAATCGATGAAACGAAAGTAAATAATCTACCCACACTTTGCTTTCATTTTGTTCTTTAGAACTTCACATGAAATCCAAAGAGATCAAATCTCAGCTTTCATATATTTGTTACAAACTGAGAAACAATAATATACTCAGTTTTATGGATGGAAGAAAAAAAAATACCTGTCCTGCCGTGTTCGTCATATTCATGGATTACTTTGATTTACAACAGAATTTTGGGCTTCAGCCGCACGAAAATTTTGACTTACTAAAAAAACCTTGACGGAAAGGAAAGCTATATATTTTTGTTAAAGGATTAAAACCAGGGGAAAAAAAAACTTACAAGGCTTTGGATGCCATTGTTTACACTTGAAATTTCTGTGTTTAGCACCGAGGCCCCTTAGAACTGGACTCAGATTGCCCCAAAGTAAACAGTAATTTGTTGATATCTCCTCCCTGTATGCTGCAGATTTCGTGCTCAAGCAAAATAAACAGTAATTTCTATATATAAATTCAACTAAATAAATCATACGTGTAGTTTTCGAGTGATTATAAGGGGGCCTTTGTTGACCGTGGACTCTAGTTATGTAAGTCTGAGGAGCAATCCATTTTCAATCATGTGCGCATCAATCTGCACGGCACCCTCTTCTTCCTAATGAATAAGAAAGGCTGCCTGCCAGAATTTGGACTACAAAACAAATCCTTGTTTGTATGTTTTAACTTCTGAAGTTGACATTTTGAATTCTCTGCACAAACTAATTTGGCAACTCTTCTTAGCCAATTTTTTTGACATGGAGGACCTTATATCAATCCTCATTCATACACTGTGGAGCTTTTGATTAGAAATGATGACAAAAAGGAAGACAGAGAAAAATAATGCTACGAGACTTCATTTGCTTACATGAATCACACAGATTTTCTAGTCGGCACAATTTACAAGTCAATCAAATAGTTTGAGTGGGAGTTTGACTACCTAGTCTAGAATCGCACGCGTGTTGAAATCATGGGTTAACTTGTATTGCATACGATTAACTTTTATCGAACAGTAACACCATCACGTGATGTACATGTTACACTTATTCTACTCACGTGATGTACATGTTACACTTATTCTACTCGTATTATAGCACGTGAGTTTTTTGAGATTAAGGATCAATTGTTTTTTGAGAACCAGACCATACTTCATGAGAGTTGAGAATCAGTTGTCTTTTGGATAAGTTCTAATCATTAATCCAAAATAATTGGACAAAAACGGCGTGAAAAGACATTGTAGGAAAGGTGATGAGAAAATGAGAGGATGCACGTTGTAAGCCAGCGGAGGAAAAGGGAAAACAAACAAGTGCTGTAATCTTGATACATCTTTGTTTCAGCTATTTACTTACTTTTTCGTGCACAACCTAAATCCACCATACATTCTTTCAAGTTTCAACATTTCCTACGAGCCCTGAACCAACAAATTTTTTTGGGGCGGCACCAACTAACTCTTTCGGGAATTCCCCCAGCGGCTGAAACACCTACCCTGCTTCCAAGTACTACATGTTTAATTTTAAGTTCAAAATACTTAAAACTACAGCCATGTCAATATGGTTAGAGAGCAGTCTGAAAATTGGCTAAAATTACAGTGCTCTGAAAAAAGGTTTAATTTGAGAGAACTCTGTAACATGGTGATTGTGCTCTAGAAATTGGCTTAAATTACAGTGCTCAAATCCCTCATTAAAATTAACCTTCATATGGTCAACAACAACAGCATTGGTGAAACAAACAGTCATCTACAATTGACCAAAAGTAAGTGGTACACAAAAGGTAATGTAGTTCAACCTTATCCAAGAGATGACTAAAGAACACTTGCCTTGCGAGTGAGATCAAGTGTCGCATGTTTTTTGAGAATCAGACCACAACATGAGAGTTGCCAGAAGAGCCACAGTTGCAGTTTCAACCTGTAATTGATGTGGACCAAGACCAACAGAGATAGCACCAGCTTGCATCAATTCATTCACCTCTTTCTCAGTGAAGTCTGAAGCAAGAACATGGAAAAATAGATCCACAATCCTGAGTAGTACTCTCAGTATTGCAAACTAAACTACATAAGCATATATGATATATTTATGAGTATACAAGAGGCATAGGATGAACATAATGAGATACTGGACTGAATACCAAGCACCAAACATACTGGAAAATCAGAGCGCACAAACAATTGTTGGTAGTTTATTCCAACATAAACCTTAATAGAAATTTGGGTAAATTTTACTCATAGTTTGACCCAGACTTTTCTTCTTACCAATTTTGTTTACAATTTGCTGCATACCTTCTAATTGCCTGATATTCAATTGATATTAAAATTCTTATTAATTTTGGTTTGCCAATCAAACCTCCAATTTGTTTCCAAAACCCTTCATCAAGTCAAAGTCATAATTGGCCTAACCAATTTCGCATCAATCTGTCACCCTAAATCTCATTATTTGGGGATAGAAATGCAGGATTTTGGTGCTGTCCAGAAAACTAATTCAAAAGTGGAAAAGTTTCTGGTTTTCAAGTTTTATTTATATGCCCGGTGATTGGTATGCAGCAAAAGTAATAAAAAGAAAACATTTACAGGATGCATACTTACCACCTTCAGGTCCAACCACAATCAACCCACTGGACTCCGTTCCTGACGAAGTTAATGCACTAACAAGAGGAGTACCTTCTGCAACTCCCAAAAAAGCTAGCTTTGACTCTGCAACCTATGAAACAAAATTGTATATATGTAATTTAAATTAACAATGCAAAGGAAGAAGAGTTGATATCCTGAACAGCATGAACATCAATGAGAAAAATATGTCAAAGAGCATTTTATTAATGTGGAACTACAACTCTCTGCCGTGAGAAAATTGCACGTAACATTTTAAGTACAAACGAAACTAAAAGAATAAGAACAGTTTGTCATTGACCTATACTATAGAACGGGCCAGAATACACATCAATAAACCAACCTTTGAAATGAAACAAAATAGGAAGAAAGCACTCACAAGAGGTAAAAGACCATTAATATTCTTTGAAGGATTCAAGATCATTTCATGCAGCCGTTGACCTGTGAAAATATTCATGGGCAAAAAATTTGAATTTTATTATTTCGAATCAAAAGTTTTATAGGACATGTCTGTCAGCACTATATGTATATTAGAATAAGGGTGAAGCTTCTTTTACATTGTTTAGCTGCTGCCATATTGACACGCTGCAACCTGCCCAGTCGATTTTCTGAGACAGTAGGAGACCGTTCTGTCAGCAGAGGAGTTAAACTACTAGCCCCCAGCTCCTAAGACAACAAATACACAAACAATACAATTAGAAGCAATGGCGGTTATGCACTATCCCTATAGTCATCACAAAAACATGAATTATACCGTGCATTTCTCAACAAGCCAATCAGCTCGACCACCCTTTAAAGTACCTAGACAGGGGCAACATCTTAATATGTGACAACAATATTCCCTTATGCCTTAACCTCTCTTACAAAACATTCCCCCGGAATTGGAAATCTAAAGAACTCACCAAAAGCTGCAAATACATGCCATTGTGTGCTCTGTGGAAGAACTGACTTTGGATCTTCCAATGCCACAAAATCAAGTCCAGAGCGGTCGATGGTCTGTATTAAACCTTGTATCAAACCTCCTTTCCCATTGAAGAGCTCTACCCTTGCATGCATTATGTGTACAATCATTAAAATACACAAGTGTAATGCAACAAACCCCAATTTCCTAAACAAAATTGAACCTTTCATAGTTCCAAATTCAACGCAATCCAATTCCAATTCGTTCATTTAACATGAAATCAAATTGATGGAGTTGATTAGGAGTTAGGTACCTATCGTTTGTGCGCAATCTTAAAACTTTGGTCATGTGCCAGAACTCATCGCCTTGTACGCGAACTATGCCTCCCTGTATAATCATCAAGAGAACAAACAATAAGAGCCTACATTTACTCTGTGAGTATGTGTGAGAGAGAGAGAGAGAGAGAGAGAGAGAGAGTGCCTTGGAAGTAGGGAGAAGCTCGGAGAAGAAGCGAGGGAGGCCACCGCGGGACTGGTTGGAGTAATCTGAAGAAGAAGAAGAGAATGCTCAAGGTTCTGATAGAGAGCGACGAAGGATTCAAGCTCCACAGCCTTGCAAAACGAGGCCGTTTTGGCGTTAGGGTTCGCATTTCCCACCAATTTCAGAGTGCTTGGAGTTGAGCTGTGCTTTTTCAAAGTTCTCCGCTCTGTTTTGGTGGGTGTTGTCTGGGAAAAGCATGCCATGTTGTTTGTAAACGACAATCATATATGAACGACATAGACGACATGAAAAAAAACATTTGAATAGTTCGTTCTACTGGTAGTATTAAATCGATTTTGAACTTGACATGAAACTCAAACGGATCTAATTAGAGGGTGGTCCTTGCTTGCTGGTTGAAATCCATATAATAAGATAATTTGATTACATAAGGATAATTATGGATATACTTCTAATACAGAGAATATAGCATCAACTCTTTTAACAGGTGAAAGACTGAGCTTATGGATATATATGATTAACTTTTATAATGTGTTCGGTAAGTACGGTCCACGTACCCCATTGTCCATCTTGCGGACTCTTCTTGAACATACAATTGGTCAGGAGGAATGGTTACGGAGTTTGAAAAGTCGAAGAGTTTGGGAACATAGTCATCGTCCAATAAAATGCAACGGGATGTTACATTCCTATGAATGATGGGCCTTGGAAAGGCAGAATGTAGGTATGTAAGTGCACTAGCAAGATGCTTTGCAATACGCAATCTAGTTTTCCATGGTAATAATTCATTATCCACTACTAAACTCCCATCAGAGTTGAGACCTCCTTTTCCTGCATTTTCAAACACCAAAGCTGGTGTATCGAACTCTAAGCAGCAGCCTAATAATTTCAAGGAATTCTTATGGGTGCTCATCTGCATTGATATGATAATATCACGAATAGCCTCGTCAACCTCGACCCAACGTCCGTACTTCCTAATGATAACTGTTCGGTCATCTAGAATACCCCTGTACATGTCGAAGTATACTAATTCATCTATAATGCAAGAAGGATCAAAGTTGTTGGTAGCTCTGATGAGCTCAGCAGCAGAGTAACAACGAATAGGATGAGATTTTCCATCACAAGAAGCAATTAGATCCTTTAGTAACATGCTTCCATTCTTCAACAATGATCTCTTTCTTTTCTCCTTTTCCTCCTTTCGCTTTACACATGGAATGATTGAGAACCTGACATATATATATATACACACACAAGAGCGCACACAACGCACAAAGGAATGAATAAGAAATCGATGAAATGAAAACAAATAATCTATCCCAATTCCCAATAAAAGACATAGCATTAGCACCCACACTTTGCTTTCATTTTGTTCTTTAGAACTTTACATGAAATCCAAAGAGATCAAATCTCAGCTTTCATATATTTCTCTGTTTAGCACACTTGAAATTTCTCTGTTTAGCACACTGGCCCCTTAGAACTGGACTCAGATTGCCCCAAAGTAAACAGTAATTTGTTGATATCTCCTCCCTGTCTGTATGCTGCAGATTTCATTTTGCTTGTCCAAATCTATAAACATTTGTTTAATCAAATTGGGAAGATGCATGACAGCTGTGTCCAACTGAAGGGTAGACCATGGGGCCATTTATAGTCGTTCGGGGAAGTCGGAATTTCCACATGTACGGGAGCTGGTATAGGGAACTTTGCAACAAACCAAGAGTTTCAAAACATTCTTATGCTTGCTCATTTGCATTGAACTGACAATGTCACGAATTTCATACTGCCAAAGTCTCGTTCCCCTGAATTTCTTAACGACAATTGATCGATCCTCTAAGAAACCCCTGAACATTTGGTAGCTTCCACACTCATGTATGATGCAAGAAGGATCCAAGTCGTTGGTTGTATTTATGAGCTCTACACTAGAAAAAGTACGAATAGGATTGAATTTGCCATCACAGGAAGCAACCGCATGCTCTCTCAAACATGGAACCATGACAGCCTGATACATGATTTATATACATATAGGTCAAACACAAGAACAAAGAACGAAAATAATACATCCCATTAATGTTGAAGGAGCATGTATGAACACCCTCCATATAACTTGAATAGCTCATTTTCGTTTTAGTTGTATTAAATTCATTTTGAACTTCACATCAAACTCCAACAGATCTAATCAGAGGGTGGTCCTTGCTGTTTGAAATCCACATAAACTTCAAGTGTTGTAATCGTCACATATAATGATAATTATTGACATTCTTCTAATACAGAGAGCTCAGCATCAACCCTTCAACAGGTGAAAGACTGAGCTTCCCAGACTACAAACTGCTACATTGTCGCACAGGTCACTTAATTAAGGTAGCTAGCAAGGCAAGATGGAGTTCTCAATTCGTACGAGTTCTTTGGCCACATCAATCATATCGGGCCTTGCTTCAGTTTGGGTTTGGATGCAGGACAATGCAAGTTCTAGGAAATCCTGCAATTGCTGTTGTGCTTGGTCATCTCCCCTTATATTCTCAAGGATTTTAGGGTCCACAATTGTCTCAATTTGAATCCGGACATTAGAAAGATGAAGTTTCAGATCTTCAGTAATAGGTTCTAATTTTCCTGCCTGATTTTTACAAGCAGCTCTTCGTCGCGTCAAGAATACAAGTAGAAGAACACCAAAGCTATAAACATCACTTTTTGCCGTAATGTAACCAGTCGCCATAAAGTTTGGGTCGGCGTACCCATATGTCCCTTTCACGCTATCTTCAACATGGGATTGCTTAGGAGGAATGGTTATGGATAATGAAAAGTTGGAGAGTTTGGGAACATAGTCATCATCCAACAAAATGCAAGTGGATCTCAGATCCCTATGAATGATGGGTCTGGGAAAGGCGGTATGGAGATATGTAAGTGCATTAGCAAGCTGCTTTGCAATATGCAATCTAGTTTTCCATGGTAACATGGATTGATTTTCGTTAGTCCCTAAACTTCCATGATTGTTGAGAACTCCTTTTGCTGCATTTTCATGCACCAGAGCTGGGATAGAAAACTCTAAGCAGCAACCTAATAATTTCAAAGCATTCTTATGGGTGCTCATCTGCATTGATATGATAATATCACGAATAGCACAAGACCTAGCTTCATCCTTGTTGATGTATTCCTGTGTGATGTACTTCTTAATGATAATTGTTCGGTTGTCTAGAATACCCCTGAACATTTGGTAGTATGGTGAAACGTTTTCCATAATGCAAGAATGATCGAAGTTGTTGGTAGCCCTCGTGAGCTCAGCAGCAGAATAACAACGAATAGGATTAGATTTGCCATCACAAGAACCAATGAGATCCTCTAATAACATGCTTCCATTGTCCAAGAATGATCTCTCGCTTTCCTTCTTGCTCAAACGTGAAACCAACGGGGAGAACCTGATACAAATATATATAATGTTGAAATGGATCTGGCCAATGACAGAACACCTTCCGGATAACTTGAATATACCCCATTTTCCTTTCATTTTTGCATTTGAATTTCACATGAAAGTCTATGAGATCAAATCTAAAGTTTTCTTTCCTTACAAATGAACTGTTAGACTTCAGCCTCATGAGAATTTTGATTTAGCGTACGAGATCAAATCTTCGACATCAATTAAAATTTAAGATAATGTTGTTGAAAAGCAAGGACACATTATTTCGATTAGTTGCATAATATGAAGTATCAGAAGCAAGCAAGAATTAAAATAATTATAGGAATATCTCAAATCAGGTCTAAATTAAAAACAGCCATACATAATCATTAAAAAAAAAAGGGGAACTTACAAGACTTTCCATGACATTTTTCTCTTTTTTGCTTTGCAGCACCAAGTCCCCTCAGAATTGGAATCAGATTGCACTAAATAAGCAGTAACTTGTTGATTATTTCTCCGCATATTATCCATGAAATCTACAACTTACAATTGCAAGAGCTTTGATGGCATGTTTCTGGCTTTAGTAAACAGTAATTGATCGATGTCTCCACGGAGTCCACTCCGTCAATTTGATTTTCTTCTGCTGATGGATGGATGGATGGATATGGCTTTCATTTGAAAATGAGTAAAGTTTTGAAGTTTAGTGCTATGGTTTGCAAAGTCCATGATGCCATCGTGTAGTGGGGACGACCAAAGCAATTTACAAGAAATTACTATTTTCTATTTTCCCATTTCATTTTCAGACACACAAAAATAAACACAATTAGTCAATAACTTAGAAGGAAAGAAACAAGAAGAACTTGCCTTGAAATTGCTAGAGCACAAAAAAATATGCACAATACAACCAGTCCCAACTCCCAATTTACAAATTTTTAGCCACACATTATCAGAAACAGAGTAAATCCCTCCACTGCCTTAACATCAACCATATCTGCCCTCACTCCTCCTAGTGGATATTTCCAATTATAAAAGAACGATTACAAATCATTGTTCGGAACTCTGAATCAGATGAATACTCAAAGATAGAGAGACCTTAACATTAACACTTGCAATGAGAGACCCAAATGGGCAAAAGTGGAGAGCTCACATACATTTTGTGCTTGTTAAAAGCCTACTAACTATGCTCTGCTTTGCAAGGTCAAGGATGCCATCGATGATCATAACGCAATGGGCGACCAAAGAAATTTACTTAAAATTACTAAGTAGTCACGCACTTAGAGTTACATAGTAAGAAACAAGAAGGAAATAGGAAATTCTGTACAATTAACATACACCCCATCCATCCATCATGCAAAACACATCAACACCCTCACAATCTCTCCTTTAAACTTATGTAGTGGATAAACCTAGCTGGGAAACATAGACTTCTCAATTTGTACAAGTTTTTTGGCCACATCGATCACATCCGGCCTTAAATCACTTTCTTCTTCGGTGCATAACAATGCCATTGTTAGAAAATCATGCAACTGCTGTTGTGCTTGCTCACCTTCACCTACGTCTTCTAAAATTTTAGGATCCACAATTGTCCGAAATTGGTCTTCAAAAGCATGTGAGCTAGCATACTGCACAGCATATTGATGTTGATCTCCTCCTTCCCGTGGCTGTATAGCCCTTTGTCCCGTCAAGAATACAAGTAAAAGCACACCAAAGCTATAGACATCAGTTTTTTCTGAACTTTTACCAGTCACGGAGTAGTTAGGGTCAAGGTACCCCATTGTCCCTTTCACGGTATCTACTTCAACATACAATTGCTCAGGAGGAATGGTTATGGATAATGAAAAGTTGGAGAGTTTGGGAACATAATCATCATCCAAGAAAATGCAGGTGGGATTTACGTCCCCATGAATGATGGGCCTTGGAAAGGCGGTATGGAGGTATGTAAGTGCACTAGCAAGTTGCTTTGCAATGCATAATCTAGCTTTCCATGGTAATAATAAGGATTCATCTTCTTCATTATCCCATCTTAAACTTCCATCACTCTGGAGAATTCCTTTTGTTGCATTTTCAAGCACCAGAGCTGGTGTATCAAACTCTAAGTAGCAGCCTAATAATTTCAACGCATTTCTATGAGTGCTCATCTGCATTGATATGATAATATCACGAATAGCCTCGTCGACACTCTTCCTGAACTTCTTAATGAGAACTGTTCGGTCGTCTAGAATACCCCTGAACATTTGGTAGTGAAAACCTTTTGTTACGATGCAAGAAGGACCAAAGTTGTTGGTAGCCTTGACGAGCTCAGCAGCGGAGTAATAACGAATAGGATGAGATTTTCCATCACAAGAAGCAATGAGATCCTCTAGTAAAATGCTCCCATTCTTGAAGAATGATCTCTTTCTTTTCTCCTTTCTCACGCATGGAAGCCATGAGAACCTGATACATACATACATACATATATATAAGAGTACATAAACGCACAAAGAAGGAATATAAAATTGATGAAATGGAAATATTCAATCTATCCCAATTCTCAAGAAAATACAGAACAACCACACTTTGCTTTCATTTTGCTCTTTAGAACTTCACATGAAATCCAAGGAGATCAAATCTCAGATTTTATGCATATAGTTATGAACTTCCCTTTTCCTGTGATGTGTGGAAGAATCCTTGTCCTACCACTTCCTCACATGGCGGCTAACATTCAAGGAAAACATAAATCTTGATTACCAAAAAATTCCCTCAAGTTGATTCAAATTTACATTTACATAAGGTTGTCGAAATAGAAATGGTAATTTTAATTTGATTAGCTTGCTTGCTTCCTTTCATACATCATCAAATATCCTCACCGAGAAAATAAAACAATTACAAAAGAAAAAAAAAACTTACAACACTTTGGATGGCATTGTTTCCCCTCACTGGATTCAGAATAGTGGTGGGATTTGGTCATGGAAGGTCGGATGGGGAAGCTGCGCCCAATGGGGCAGTTTATATCAAGTGGGTGCCACACGCCACGGTGTCTTCGTTTCAATCTCTAATATGATAATATCATCAAATCTTGTGTCCACAGTTGGCAACCAACTTGGCAGTCACATATGAAATTATATAGATTTCCAAACTAAACAGATTTCAATGACTTTATACAATTAAATTACTTAGACTTATTTATTGATTTGCCATATGAACTTTATGAAAAATCTCAGTTTATTCTCTGACTTTGCAATTGGGTTAATATGTCCCCTATGCTTTTATTCTGTGTCTCACTTTGCTCAATTCTTTCAATTTTCTCAATAAAACTGTTAACTTGCGCATGTGGCATAGACATTTTAGTAATTTTAACTATTAAGGGTTAAAATAATTAGTAAATAAACATTAAAGTTATTTTACCTTGGCCACTGGCATAACACCTTCCATATACAAGAAAAAAAAACACCCAGAACTTACAGGTTTTTGGATGGCATTCTTCACTTTTTGCTGTCTAGCACCAAGTTCCCTCAAAATCGGAATCAGATTGCTCAATATAAACAGCAATTTGTTGATTCCTCCGCCTAGTCCAGTGCAAATCTCATGTGCAAGCAGCTGTTTATATCGTTAGTTTCATTTTCTTTTACAGAAAATTTGCATTTGAGAAGGAAGATTGGTTTGAAGCCTTATTGGTATGTGTAGAAAGGTCAACAATAATATCACATGCGCCCTCATATATTTGACTTATAGGACGACTTACCAACCAAGTTGCAAACTGCAAGCCATCTAGACAAGTTGTATATCAAGAAACCATTCATTATTCATATTTTTTTAATGTATCATCACCCTTTTCCTAGTCATTGTGTTTTCTATTTTTCATTCCTTCCTCCAAACCCCATACAATCACCGTTTGATTTGAACAAAGACACGCAGCATCAAGAAATCGTCAAATAATGAGAAAAGTTATCAGGGGTATTCTGATATATCAAGTAGGTGCCACACGGTGTCTCGCGAATTTCAATCTCTAATATATCATCAAATCCTGTGTCCACAGCCTCAGTTTATCCTCTGACTTTATAATTGGGTTAATATGCCCCCTATACTTTTATTCTGTGTTTCACTTTGCTCAATTCCTTCAATTTTCTCAATAAAATTGTTAACTTGCTCATGTGGCATAGATATTTTAGTAATTTTAACTATTAAGGATTACATGACGACTTCCTAACCAAATTGGAAAACTGCAAGCCATCTTACCATACCAAGTTGTATCTCAATAAACCACTCATCAATCATTTTCTTAAAAAATATCATCACCCTTTTCCCAGTCGTTGTCCCTAATCATCAATTGACTTGAAAAAACAAAAAATGCAACATAAATAATCCACGTTGAAAGTGGTTGAGCATGCAAAAGATATACACAAAGCAAACCAGGTAGCTGCAGGTTTATGATCAAACACAACCAAAAAGATACTTACAAAATACCCTTTCCTCCCTGTTTATGATCAAACACAACCAAAAAGGAAGCACTATTCAAAATACAAGGAACCTGGGTCATTGTGACATAATCACAAACACCTACCATGCCAGATTTTCTGGTCAAATGCCTGCTTGTTCTTTTCCGTTTCTGATTTTTTGTTGGAATATCGGGTTTTTTGTGTCTGGCTTTTGGGTTTCTTGGCGGGGAATAATGTGTTTTGGCTCCAATGAGTTTACTCCTTCAATTGTACTTACTTGCCTTGAAATTGGTTTAGCACAAAAGCAAAAACAAATAAGCAAAATGCATTAGCCTCTCACCATCTATCGCTTGGAAAGTATTTAAATTTTGTAACAATTTAGAAAAGAGTACATAAAATTAATGTATGTTGGTCTCAGATCCCTATGGCTGATGGGCCTGAGAAACGCGGTATGAAGATATATTCAGCTGCATTAGCAAGTTGTTTTACAATACTCACATGAGAGATCTAGATTCTAGTCTCAGCTTTTATATTAGCTACAAATTAACAGGAAAAAGAACATAATAGTAATGTATTAACAACCAACAACAAAAATCATAATAAAGGGTATACAGAGTTCAACAATAACAGAAAAGAGAGATCAACTTCCGAACAATAGTCATGTTGTTGAACCCATATCCAATATATATTTTTTAATAACAAATATAGTGGATTGAAGCTAGCTGGGCAAAATAGACTCGTCGATTCGAATGAGTTCCCTTGCCACATTGCTCATATATGGCCTTCCTTCAATTTCTTCTTGAGTGCATGACAATGCCAGTTCTAGGAAATCATGCAACTGCTGTTCTACTTGCTCATTTCCCCCAACCTCCTCTAAGATTTTAGGGTCCACAATTGCCTGAAGCTGGTAAGCATGTGACTTCATATAATCAATAACTGAAATATACCCTCCTTCCTGCGGTTTAATTAGCCAAGCTCTTCGTCCCGTCAAGAATACAAGTAAAAGCACACCAAAACTATACACATCAGTTTTTTTTGAGACGCAGCCAGACCTCATGTATGCAGGGTCAACGTACCCAATTGTCCCTTTTGGATCATCTTCAGCATCAGAATACGTAGGAGGAATGGTTATGGAGAGTGAGAAGTTGGAGAGTTTGGGAACATAGTCGTGGTCCAAGAAAATACAACCAGGTTTTAGATCCCTATGAATTACGGGACTGGGAAGGGCGGTATGGAGATACGTAACTGCACTAGCAAGCTGCTTTGCAATACGCAGTCTAATTTTCCATGGTAATATTAAGGGTTGATCTTCATTGTCTCTTAAACTTCCATCACCTTCAAGAACTCCTTTTGCTGCATTTTCAAGCACCAGGGCAGGTACTGGGAACTCTAAGCAGCAACCCAAGAGTTTCAAAACATTCTCATGGTTGCTCATATGTATTGAAACAACAATGTCGCGAATTGCCCGGGACCTAACACCATCCTCATTCTCCCATGACTCATGGTACAAGCTCCCAATGGAGTACCTGGCAATGATAATCAACTGGTCGTTTAGAAATCCCCTGAACATTGTGCAGTTTAAATCCTTTCGTACAATGCGAGAAGGGTGGAAGTTGTTGGTTGCCCTGATGAGGTCATCAGCAGAGTAACAATGAACAGGAAGAGATGTACCATCACAAGAAGCAATGAGATCCTCTAATAATTTGCTCAGATTCTTGTAGTATGATGACTCAATATCAGCATCTCTTCCCTCCTTTCCCAAGCATGGCAACATTGAGAACCTGATAGAATATATCCGTGTAATATAATAAATTAATGAAACTATATATTTTTTTTATTGGTTAAAAATGAAAATAAAATGATGAAATTGAAATAATCTCTCCTAAGGGAAGCATGTGATGTGAGACCATGCTAACACACTCTGCATACTTCATATGAGATTCCAAGAGATATAATCTGAGCTTTTAGAACTTACAATTAAAATCTACAATCAGGTTTAAAATTGAAGCTACATATTATCCATGAAAACTTGAACTTACAATTGCAAGAGTTTTGATGGCATTGTTTCCGCTTTAGATTGCACCAAGTAAACAGTAATTGATCGATTTCTCCACCCAGTCCACTCCGTCAATTTGATTTTCTTCTGCAGATGGATGGATGGATATGGCTTTCATTTGAGAATGAGTAGAGTTCTGAAGTTTATTGCTATGCTTTGCAAGGTCAACGATGCCATCGAATGATAAACGTGCAGTGGGGCCGGCCAAAGAAGTTTAAAGGAAATTACTATTTTCCCCTTTCATTATCAGACAAAAAGAAAACGAAAACAATTAGCAAAATTTAATGAACTTGCCTTGAAATTGCCAACCACCAGCTTCGGCTGAATAAACAGAGCAAATCCATTCAGACTTCATCTCCTCCACGGCCTTCCTCATTTCCCCAACTGCTTTTCACATCAACCATATCTGCCCTAACTCCTTCCAAATAGATATTACAAATGATAACAGAACATTACAAATTTTCTTTTGGTAACTATGAATTACAGAAGAAAATTAGAGAGCAGGTTGAATATTCAAATTTAGAGAGCTTAACATTAACATTTTCACAATGAGAGACCCAAATGAGCAAACTGTAGCTCACATTCATTTTGTGCTTGTTAAAAGCATACTAATTACAATTTACATGCCAAGGTACAAGTTTTCCCTTTTCATGACCAAACAAAACCATGAAGTACAATCAATTAAAAAGTACTATTTCCCATTGACACTACCCAAAATAGTACAAGTCACTTAGGACATTGTGACATTATCACAAACACCTACCGTGCAAAAAACAACACACAAAAAAACCCTCCAAATCAGTCGTCTTCTTCATCACCAGATTCACCATCACTATCATGGCTCTCTAAAACAATACCATCACCTTGATACCCACCTCCCAAATCACAAACCCTAATCCACACATCCTCAGGAACCGGCACAACCGACAGCCTCGGCTGCCTAAACAGAGCAAAACCCTTGAGCCCCTTCTCCCCCTTCATCTCCTTTAAGTCCACTGGCCTCCTCATCTCCCCAACCGCCTTCACATCCACCATCCCATCATCGCCGCCGTCTGAATACCATTCCCGAACAACAGTCACAACGCCGACTACACGGCGGGCCTTGGCGCCGGAGTGGTAGAAGAAGCAGAGGTCACTGAGTTTCATGGATTTGAGGTGCTTCTGGGCTTGCTTGTTTTTTACACCATCCCACTTGGTTAAGCCCCCATTGGCTGCTTGGTCCTCCCACGACCACTCTCCTGGCTCTGTCTTCAGAAGCCAATACTGTTTCTCTTCGCTCATTGATGGAAATTCTCTTCTCTGCAGCTCTGCTTCTTCTTTTTTCTTTGTCTACTCTTCCTTTCTGTTCCTGGTTTGGTGTTTGTTGCAGTATTGGGTTTTGTGTTGGCTTTTAGGTTTTTGGCGGGAAAATATGCGTTTTAGCGCCAATGGAGCCTTGTCAGCTAATTTGGGCTAAATTTTTTTGGGTCTTTTATAAATTAGTTTGTGTATCACAATTTTCTTGACAAAAAAAGAAAAAAGAAAAAGAAATATACATATGTCCCACAATTTAACATGAATTAACGCCGTTAAACCCGTGACCTCTTTCTTCCGTTTTTCCTCTTTCGAGCTGGCTGTTCAGTTTTGGTTTTGCAAAAGAAAAAAACCTGTACTCGAAAACACAAACTAAACCAATACACCTACTTATATCAATTGAGCAGCAAAATGGTTGGTTTTGCAAGGATGCTGTTTACCCCGAAAAGGAACCGCCGGCCATTCGCGTGGTGTTTGGCCGTGGAGTTTGCTTGTTGCGATTGCGAAGGCGTGCCACTGTTGGCAGTGAAAAACTCCAACAGACTGAAAACGGTAAGACTGGAAAATGCGCACCGATATTGACTTTAATCAATTGATTGTGGATTGGGTGGGGAACTGGCCCAATACAAGGTTTTTTTCTATGCCCCAATTAAGAGGACTTCAATATTCATCTAGTGCGAAAATGATAACTGACAGAAGTTGAAATTGAACGGTAATGGAAATGACTGAAGTTTTATCAGAATATTTCTCTATTCAGACAACTTGAAAGAAAAAGGAAATACATAAACAACACGGCCTGAAGATGTCTCTATTCAGACCTGGTACATAAAATTAAGATGGAGATTGAAGATTTCTCTATTCAATCTTGTACAAGGAAATATCATACCAAGAGTTGGCAGAGCAAAATAAAGAAAATTCCTCAAGAGTTGTCAACTTGGAAATTCAGAGAATGAAAAAGGAAGGCTGTTTCAAGCTTTTGAGCTGGGTTTATAGACGTTGAGTCTGGTTTTTGTTGGTTGAGTTGTGCGTCTTTGCTGATGATTTCTCCTTCAATTTATAGAGAATGGAGGTCAATTGAGTGGACCAGCAGTCAATTTGAAGTACCCACTTGCCGGAAAATTCTACAGTGCACCTGGCGCACTGATGCGCCACTTATTATAGACCTTTGGATGAGTAATTGAGGCATGTGGGGTAATCCAAAGCGTTGATTGTTGGTTACCGGTTAAATTGGTTGCTGTAGGTAAAATAATAAAAAAAAAAATACAAAAATACTTGCTCTCTCATTCAGAGACATTTCAAGTCAACTTTGGGTTGGGTTTCTCATTTCTTTATCTTCGAGTTCTATTCCTTCTACAATAGCTCTTCTCCTCCTTCTGTGACGACGAGACGATGTCGGCGATCACATCTCCTCTCCTCTCAGGTAGGTCATGCTCCTTCTTCTCCTTTTTTATTTCATTCTCCTTTCTAGGGCTTTGGGTCTGGGTATCTTCCTTGTTGCTGCTGCTTCATCGCTGGTTTTTCTTTGTTTTGTTTTTTTAGGTTTTCACAGTTATGATTTCTTTGTCTCACTCTCATCTGGATCTCCGTGGCTAGCTTTCTCTCAACCTCTCTATGGCAGGTAAGAACTCTAATTTTCTCCCTATCTTTCTAATTGTGTAATTTAGATGATTCGCATCAGAGCAGAAAGTATTTCAACTTTGAATTATGGTCTAGGCTTTCTAACAAAATGATTTATATGTCCTATTTTAATTTAGGGTTTAATGATTTGGGTATTGAATCGCAAGTCCTTATTATTATTATTTTTTTTGGTAATATTTTGGATTTATATAGGAATTTGGTAATTTTTTGAAATTATAATTCTTTTTTTTTTCTCTTTCGAATTTTTCTCTCCCCTTTCTCCCTCTCAGAGATATCATTGCTACTTTCTTACTTTTTTTATTATTTGAATTTGAGGGTTGGAAGCTTGAGAGTTGTTCATTCTTGATAATGATATGAGACTTTAAATTGATGGCCTTGAGACTGCATATTGTTCAAACCAAAAGCATTGGGTTCTTGAAGGAAGATGCTAGACGATGGAGCATCCATTTCAACCTTGAAGAGATATTGCAGGTTTCTATTTTGTAAACTGTGTGTATTGTGTTTGATAACTTGGAATTTTATGTACTCTGTTTACTTGAGATCTCAATGTTAAAATAATGATCTAGAACTTGAGATAGGATTGAGACATTTATTGTCCTCCATGGCAATGGAGCAAATTGGTGTCCATTACAACCCATGAGATCTATGACTTCTTATAATGTATTATTTTTGTGCTTCAAATAATTTAGTCTAAATTGTAGAGTAATATATTTAGTTTCTAATATGAATTAGTTCTGATTTTTCAGTGAACAATTCAAATTTTGGTATGGATGTTGAAGACTATGTTGTTGGTGGGTGTTCTAACATTTCTTTAAATATGATTGCATACGAATGACGTTGCTGTGAAAAAAGTCAAAAAAGTAACATGTTGATGCAATTTTGTTTCGTGATCAACTAGAAATACACAAACATTTGATTCAGTCTAGTAGGCTTAGTTGCATAGATATTTGAAGAATTAAGTCAGCATGCTAGTAATTGCTATATGGCTGATTTTGTCTTGGTGACTTATGCTATCACCCAAAGTTGGAGGTCCTATCCTTGCTAGTTGTTTGGGAACATAGAGACGTGGAGATGAATCTGCACTTTGTGTTTCCCTTGTCCAATGGTTCCCGCGAGCCCTTTTTCATCATGAGTGTTTTGATTTGCTTTCTGGTTCGTTCAATGTATAGTAAAATATCGCTATATAATTTATTTCCTCTTATTTTGTAGCGGGAGTAGCTATCTTCATTTTACTAATCTCATTTTATTCAACTCGTGAAGGTGAGGACTTCACTAGCAAGATACATATAATGCTACAAATTTTTTTGTGAAGTTATGCTGTGATTCCCTTTTTTGTTTTCTTCTCATTTGTATTTTTTCTTGAAACATTTGACAGTACAAGGAGTCACAGAGGCATGGGCTTGGTGACGTAAGGCATGGGCTGAATTGAAGATGGGAGTGTAGTAGATTGTAGTTCAATTGTTTTGCTCTATTTCTACTGTTGTTATTTAGGCTTCAGATCTTGATTGTAGTTCAGTTTTTTTTTTCTTCCTTCTTGTACTTGGCATTTAGTTTGTTTTATTTTTTTTACCTTAAATACTTGGCATTTAGTTTTAATGTATTGCTTTTGATGGACAAGTTATCCATTCCCATTATGTGTACTTAGTAGGATATTTCATTAAACTCATGGTTATGAGAAATATAAATAATTATAAAAACTATTGATTTGTTTTCTTTATGTTATTGGCAGCCTTTTTAATTTTGAGAATGTAAATACATTATGTGATTTGTCAATGCCATTGACAAACAGATAGTGCCATTTGTATTTTAGTTTTGTAATTGACAAACAAAGAATTCTCATTTGCATTCCAATCGTGCAAAGGCTGTGACACCTATTGAACTTATAGGAAAATTCTACAATGGGTGTGGTGTATCCAAGCGCCCAAAATATCAGCCATTGGATGAGTAAGTGGAGATAAGGGTTAAATCCACACCATTGAATGCTGGTAACCTGTTAAAAGGGTTGGTGTAGATAAAAGTGAATAAAATAAAAATTAAATAGAAAAAGAAAAAGAAAACAAGAAAAGAAAAACAGAACGACAGAAAGGGAGAAGGGAAGATCGTGAATTGCTGCTGAGGCAATCCCACCAACGGCACTCTCTCTTTCATCTCTCCCTCTCTTCCCCTACATGTGAATCGCTTGATTCTGGAGATGAATTGAGAAGATCTTAAATCTCGGTGGCTGGGCATTTTGCATGGTTCACAAAAAACCAGTGGAAACGAGTTGATGTTGCTGAAACGTATTTAAGTGGCCATTGCAAAGGTAAAATTAATAGCTTTATTATCCTTGTCCACACTTGAGTTCCCAAAGACCAGCAATATAACATTTTGCTATATTGATCTGCTCAAAGAAAACCAGCTATTTCTATGGGTAATTTTCCCTCTATGAAATCAAGTATCCCTCTATGAAATCAAGTAATTATGTTATGAAAAGAAAACCAGAAAAACTAAGCAGAAATTAATGTAGCACAGGAAGAAACTAAGCAGAAGTAAATGGGTTTTTGATTTGCTAAACAAGCATAATGCAATTGACAAACAGTGAGTTGGAAATTGAACAAGCATAACGCAATTAAAAAACAGTGAGTTGAAAATTGAACAAACATAATACAATTGACAAACAGTTAGTTTGTAATTGAACAAAAAGAATGCAATTGACAAACCGTAAGTTTGAAATTGCAAACGTGCATGCTGTTGTGTAGATTCAGCTGCACCAAAATGGATTCAGCTGCATCCTCAACTTGTGATACTCGCAAGTGCACAAGCCGTTTGGTAGTATAGCATATGTAGGTGCGAGGTCGATCCCACGAGGATTGGTGATTGAATGATCCAATTTGTTTCCCCTACAAGTGACCATAAGATGGAAAGGGCACTGATAGATTGGGTCGCCTAGGAGGAAAAGGAAATAACTCAATTGACAAACAATGCATTGGAAATTGAATAAACATAATGCAATTGACAAACAGTGAGTTCGAAATTGAACAAGTATAATGCAATTGACAAACTGTCTGTTTGAAATTGCAAACGTGCATGCATGCCTATTTTCTTAACGTTTGGCTTCGTTTTCCACAGGATTTCACTTCCCATTTACGATATTACAATAGGAAGGACTTGTATTACACTGTTGGACATTTGTGTTCCATTATATTATAAAATCAATTCTTAATCGTGTAATATCGTAATTTACAAAAAAAAGGACATGTAGTACAATATTAAGGTAAAGTGGAACATTCGGAAGTTAAATTAGGTCCTTATACTTGTAAACACGGATGTTTACAATATTAAGGTCTCATATTACTCTGTTTTGGACAGCTGTGTTCCATAGAAGTGTAAAACCCATCCGTAATCTTGTAATATCGTAATTTACAAGGATAAAGACATCTAGTACAATATTAAGGTAACTAGGGACATTAGGAAAGTAAATTGGGTCCTTATATGTGTAAACACAAATGTTTACATTATTAAGGTATCGTATTACTCTGTTTAGGACAGTTATGTTTCATATGATTGTAAAATGCACCTTTAATCTTGTAATATCGTAATTTATAAAGATAAAGACATGTAGTACAATATTAGGGTAAATGGGAACATTCGGATGGTAAATTGGGTCCTTATACTTGTAAACTCGGATGTTTACAATACTAAGGTCTTTTATTACTCTTTTATGGATAGTTATGTTCTAGAGCGTTGTAAAACCCATCCTTAATCTTGTAATATCGTAATTTACAAAGAGAATGACGTCTAGTACAATATTAAGGTAACTAGGGATATTAGAAAAGTAGATTAGGTCCTTATACGTGTAAACACAAATGTTTACATTATTAAGGTATCGTATTACTCTGTTTAGGACAGTTATGTTCCATATGATTGTAAAATGCATCCTTAATCTTGTAATATCGTAATTTACAAAGATAAAGACATGCAGTACAATATTAGGGTAAATGGGAACATTCATATGGTAAATTGGGTCCTTATACTTGTAAACTTGGATGTTTACAATACTAAGGTCTTGTATTACTCTTTTATGGATAGTTATGTTCCAGAACATTGTAAAACATATCCTTAATCTTGTAATATCGTAATTTACAAAGATAAAGACATGCAGTACAATATTAGGGTAAATGGGAACATTCATATGGTAAATTGGGTCCTTATACTTGTAAACTTGGATGTTTACAATACTAAGGTCTTGTATTACTCTTTTATGGATAGTTATGTTCCAGAACATTGTAAAACATATCCTTAATCTTGTAATATCGTAATTTACAAAGATAAAGACATGCAGTACAATATTAGGGTAAATGGGAACATTCATATGGTAAATTGGGTCCTTATACTTGTAAACTCGGATGTTTACAATATTAAGGTCTTGTATTACTCTTTTATGGATAGTTATGTTCCAGAACATTGTAAAACATATCCTTAATCTTGTAATATCGTAATTTACAAAGATAAAGACATGCAGTACAATATTAGGGTAAATGGGAACATTCATATGGTAAATTGGGTCCTTATACTTGTAAACTCGGATGTTTACAATATTAAGGTCTTGTATTACTCTTTTATGGATAGTTATGTTCCAGAACATTGTAAAACATATCCTTAATCTTGTAATATCGTAATTTACAAAGATAAAGACATGCAGTACAATATTAGGGTAAATGGGAACATTCATATGGTAAATTGGGTCCTTATACTTGTAAACTCGGATGTTTACAATACTAAGGTCTTGTATTACTCTTTTATGGATAGTTATGTTCTAGAGCATTGTAAAACCCATCCTTAATCTTGTAACATTGTAATTTACAAAGAAAAGGACGTCTAGTACAATATTAAGGTAACTAGCGACATTAGGAAAGTAAATTGAGTTCTCATACGTGTAAACACTTGTATTACTCTTTTATGGATAGTTATGTTCCAGAACATTGTAAAACCTATCCTTAATCTTGTAATATCGTAATTTACAAAGATAAAGACATGCAGTACAATATTAGGGTAAATGGGAACATTCATATGGTAAATTGGGTCCTTATACTTGTAAACTCGGATGTTTACAATACTAAGGTCTTGTATTACTCTTTTATGGATAGTTATGTTCCAGAACATTGTAAAACCTATCCTTAATCTTGTAATATCGTAATTTACAAAGAGAAGGACGTCTAGTACAATATTAAGGTAACTAGGGACATTAGGAAAGTAAATTGAGTCCTTATACGTGTAAACACAAACTTTTACTATATTAAGGTTTTGTTTTACTCGGTTTTGGACAGTTATATTCCATTTAATTGTAAAATGCATCCTTAATCCTTGTAAATGAGTATTTACAACATTATGGATTAGGTGAACCCTAATGTTGTAATCATAGTTCAAAAACTTGTAAACAGCTACCCAAATCTTGTAACTTATAAGTTTTAGGATCCTCTTACAATGTTATGGTACTCTCATATCCAAACTACTGTAAATCACTATCCTATCATATGCCAATTGCCAAACAGGAAGGGCATAATTGCATGACCCTTATGCAATTGCATTTTCAAAAAGTGGAAACTTGATAACTTGTATAACCGGTAACCAATTTTTTAAAAAATCTGGGAGCATCATAAAGTACAAATGGTGCATGGGTGCACCTGGTGCACTATAGAAGGTGCCCCCACTTGCCATTGGTTTTGGTGAGTGGGTTGCTGAAAATACAAGTAAACCCAAAAAAGTTGCTAAGAGGCTTTGATGTGATTTGACAGAAGTTGTCACTATTAGACTTAAAGAAATCCAAAGTATTAGTCCACTTGCCATTGATTGGTAACCAAAAGTAGCTGACTAAAAGACAAAAAGAAATGTAGAGATAATGACCACAATCTCTACTTCTTTCTTTATTCATTCTTTAAGCCCACTTGCATATTATTTTATTCTTTTTTCAACCTTGGTGTAGACTTTTCACGTGTATGTTGGGCTTTGGCTTTGTTTTAATATTCTTCATCACAGAGAATATTAAATTGTTTCCATCTACCACATCTTCACTTTATTCTTCTCTGAATCAACTCACTGGTGATGAAGTCCCTCCATTGATAAAGTGAAACTTGATTTGCAGCCACTGAGTTTCTCCTCTGCACATGCCTTGATGCGTAATAAACTGGGAAAGCTAGGTTGATCCAATTGCTGCCAATTTAGGATATGTTGTTCTCCACATAAGTAGGAACAACATTCATGAAGAACTTAATTCCTTTTGAGCAATAGAAAATCTGGTTTTAGCATGGTTACACCAGACTGGTCGTCACAAACTGCTCTCACGAATAGAAATCATGATTAATGCTCTGAAGATTCAATACTTGTGCAAATGAAGCCAAATTCGGATATGTCGTAGTAGACATCCAAATGAACAACTTTCATGAAGAACGAATGTTCATTTGAGGACTGGAAACTGGCCCGAATTGCCACTGTTATCAGCTTTCGCTGTTGCTGGTATGCTTTTGATGTTTGATGTCGCGAGGATTCCACATTTATCCAAATGATCCCAAATTTAGATATTTTACGGTAGACGTTCTAATGCAAAACTTTCATGAAGAAAGACAATTCATTAGAGCATTGAAATTAGGCCCGAATTGATGCTATAAGCTTTTGCTAGCGCTGTGCATCTGGTGTTTTCAGCTCTTAGGACTCCACATTTGTCCAAATAAACCCAAATTTGGATATGTTGCAGTAGACATAGAGATGAACAACTGTCGAGAAGGATGAAACTTGATTTGAGCGCTGAATTTGAATTTTGGGCCCACTCCATCTGACTGCAGCAATGCATGTCTAGCCATATTTTGGCCATTTTGATGTCCATGGAAAATTATCTACCATTTTAGGCAAAAATCCAATTTTTGGTGCAAACAGATGCCCAACCTTTCTTCTACTGGTAAATGTGCAAAACCTTTTTTTTTTAATATATATTATTTGTATTCAATAATATGTGAGAATTATGCATATAATACGTGAATTTTGTGTGTATTATTGAAAATTTTATAAAAAAACTTGCATTATCATGAAAAATACGTGCTATACTATTCCTTTTGAAAAAATGAGGAAAAAGCGGGTATAGCCGCGCGGCGATACTATTTCTTTTAAAAAATTAGGGAGAAAGGCGTATAGCCGGGCGGCGATACTCTTTTTAATTAGGGAAAATTCCGAGTATGGCCGCGCGGCTATACTATTTCTTTTAAAAAAATAAGACAAACAAGTATAGCCGCGCGGCGATACTATTTCTTTTAAAAAAATAAGACAAACAAGTATAGCCGCGCGGCGATACTATTTGTTTTCAAGGAGCAGGGAGTATAGCCGGACAGCTATACGTTTTCTTTTTAAACAATTAGGAAAAATTCCGAGTACAGCTGATCGGCTATACTATTTCTTTTTAAAAGAAAATTAGAAAAACCTAGTATAGCCGCTATTTCTTTTTAAAAAAGCATTAGGAAAAACCGAGTATAGCCGGGCGGCTATAAAAAAATTTTTATTAAAAAAAATTAGGATTAACCGAATATAGCCGTTCGGCTATAGTATTTCTTTTTCAAAAATTAAGGAGAATGGAGTATAGCCGGGCGGCTATACGCTTTTTCATTAAAAAAAATTAGGAAAAATTCCGGGTATAGCCGAACGGCTATACTATTTCTTTAAAAAAAATATTTAAAACCCATTTCTTTTCTAAAAATTAGGAAAACCGAGTATAGCCGATCGGCTATACGATTTCTTTTTTAAAAATTAGGATACAAGCGTATAGCCGCCCGGCTATACTTTTTTTTTATAATCTTCCTGAGCATCTTATGAAATTAACATTTGATTTCCTTAATTTATGTCTCTGATGTTCATGATGCAATGTGGTCCATTATTCTTGATGCGTTGTAGTTGTTAAGTGTTAATGTAGTTAATTTCCGTGATATTAGTCAGTCTGAACAGAGCTATGTGGTGCTGCGGACACTATGACCATAAATTTGAACTCTACAGAACTAAAACTTGAAGCATCTGGGACAAACGAGCCTGCAGTTAGTGAGTTGGATGCTGCGGCAACTACGATTCAGAAATTCTGTAGGAGTTACAGCACTAGACGAGGCCTTGCAGATTGTGCTGTTGTGGCTGACGAACTATGGTTTGTACCTTAAGTCTATGTTACATTCTTTGCTGTACAACTAGCCTTTGTTCATCACATTTGTGTAATTGTTTTAGGTGGTTGGACTTTGCTGCTTTGTCACGGTCGGCACGGGCTAGGACAAGGCTGCTGCCAGTACTTTGGTGGTAGGAATCAGACTAGAGTTATATGTGTTTTACGGAGAACTTCCAAATTAACAGCGAAGTCTTTTTTGTCTGCAAGCACAACAGGGTTTTTCCAAGGACCAGAAGGCTCAGAAACTAGCCCTGCAGTACTGGCTTGAAGCTGTGAGCTTATATACTTCTAAATTCTAGTTCAATTCTGTTTATAGCTCTCTCCTTTGTGTTTTTGTGTTTCTTCATCTTCATCCAATGGATGAAAGTAACAACATTGTACTTTAACTAGAATTGCAAAAATGCATTCATTGTATAGAGTTCCATATCGCAAACACTGTCGGGTTTATTTAACGAGAAACTGAAAATCAATGAACTTACCAATCTCTTCTCAGATTGATCTAAAATTAATATAGAGCTATGAGGGGAAGAATTAATGCATAATGTATTTACTGATGTTCATTCACTTTCTATTTCAGAAAGAGCGGGAGGGATATGAAGTGACTGTAGAGAACGGAAAGCATGTTCACAGACAATCAGGGATGCTTGTTGACACAGTAAAAGGCTCTAAGTGGATGTTTGTGCTCAGCACATCAAGGGCTTTACACGTGGGGCAGAAAAGGAAAGGTGCTTTTCATGACTCAAGTTTTCTATCTGGAGGGGCTGCAGTTACAACTGGAAGATTAGTTGCCCACAATGTGGTTCTTAACGTTCATTATGCATGTGCATTAGTTTTCTCAAATGCTAGTATATAATTCTTTTGCAGTTCCATTTTTTGAGCTAAAATCACCTCATCTTTTAATTGTTCAGGCTATATGGCCATATAGTGATTACTTCTATCTCGCAACTGAAGACAATTTCAAGGAATTCATTAGCTTCCTGCAGGAGCACCATGTAGACCTAACCCATGTCGAGGTAGTTACATTCAGCTCTGGCCTTCATTTTGCACTTTAACTATGCACACAAGTAGAACAAAATAGCTAAATTTGTCTTCTCTATATCTGGTCTTTTACAGATGTTTGCAACAGATGATGAGAACGCGTCAATCCAAATTCCTGACAAGTTGTGCTTAGAGCCAGAGATGAATAAGAGCGTGGAGTCGAATGGAGAAGCACCTATAAATGACCTGTTCAAGTGTTTGTCCTGCAAGTGGGCAACTGGTGTTGGTCCACGTATTGGGTGGGTAGGGGAATACCCATCAGAGCTACGACTCCGAGCGCTTGAGCAAGTCCGCCTATCAGCACGACCACAACCAAAGCCAACGGTCCGGGTCTCACCTAGGCTTAGCCCGAAGGTACCCTGTTTCCACTGCATTGATTTCTTGTTTTGGTTTTGGAATTAAGTTGTAATTTTCTTTAAAGCACGTCTGTCAATTGATCCTTGCCTGTTCTTTTTGTATTTTGTCTCACAAAGTCAACAAAAATCTGAAAAATCTATAAATTTGGAACAAGATTGTTGACTTTAACTGAATTAATTCCTTCGTAACCATAGTTCCCCAACGTTTATTTATTACAAGATATCTGTGAACTTTTATGACGTAATACTAGTTTCTTTTGTAGGCTACTTCGGTAGAGTGGGCCTTCTTACTCACTGGCCTCTGCCTAGAGATTTTGTCATTTGCTTTTGACCAGGCTTCCTCCCCAAGTAAGCCCCAATATGCACTGTTTGGTATTGATATTGGCTATTGCAGCTGTACTCATTTGCATCTGGGAGCTCATTTACAAGGGTAAAAAGGAAAGAGTTGTATTGAGCAAGGTCTAAAATATCGATGGTATCGGAAATATCGGTAGTCCAAAAACACGGAAATTTCAATAGAAATATCGGGATATTATCGATATCGATAAAAATTGAATAAAAACCATGGAAATTATAAGAAAAACTTGAAAAATTTTATTGAAACTTTGGTGGATGTTTATTCAGTCAATTATGTATTAGTTTATCACAAAAAATTAGAAGGAAATCCATTGCATGATAGGTTAACTGATTTAAGTTGATTATATAGCGAGCAGACAAACACTGTGAGTGTAGAAAATATGTAGTAATTAATGAAAGAAGATTAAACACACCATAATCATTTATATATAATGATTTACTACAATATACACTTTATACATTGCAAGGTAAGATACATGAGTGACTTAGTACCACACAGAGTTCTTATGAGGTTGAAAATTTTCACTATCTTCATCATTTCTATGTGTAGGGTAAGTGTATTGTGAAGAGTAGTCATCAAATGATAAACCCCCAAAATAGTTTCGCATGTAATTGTTCAAAACAATATAAATATACATATTTTAGCATATTATCACAAAAACATAAGCAATATGGTGGTTAAGGTGTTGGAGGAGTGAAATGGCAAGGGTTTGAATCCCCTTTGTGTGTTTGAGTTTTTTTTTTTTTTTCATTACATCAATATTTTCGATAATTTAGCGATATTATAGCTATATTTTGACAAAATATTGCTGAAGTATGAGCGAAATTATCGACATCGATATTTTCCGATATTATCGATATTTATACAATATGTGTATGGATATGTTCCGAAATATCTGAGACTCGAAAAAACGATAATATCCTCAATATTTCGTCGATATTATCGATATTTTAGACTATGGTATTGAGGCAGTGGGGACGGTTGTGGTGGTTCTATTATCGACATTCCCAGCATAGGCTTTTTGGTACTCTTTAGGCCTGCCATCTTTCTTACATGAGAATCGAAATGAGATCCGTGATGAGCACGGAGATTGAACAAAGACCAAATAAGGGGATGGTTGAACGTATATACCAGAGTAGACATTGGCATTTAAGTCATTTGGTGTTGCGAGTTTTAGATTTCAATTTTAGTTATGTGGCTGTTTCTGTTGTAAAAGATTGTAGTTTTGATGGATATATGCTGCTTCTCCTTCTATATGGACTGAAGTGATCTTGGCTTTGCTGATAAGTTTTGTCTGTAAAATATTCCTGAATGTTGAAACTTTGTTCTTTAATTAAATAGCATTCATTTTTCTGGACTGAAGGACAAAGAGAAGACCATAAATACTTTCTTCAAGTCCTCAATAGAATCTGTGGAGTGCTGTTGTGCTAAACTCCACCCACCCACCATGCCCCGCCAAGGTTAGGAGAAACACTTGTGTGCAACGGGGATAGCACCGTTTTGCTATCCTCTGTCAATTACGCTATGCCACGAGTGATAACTTTTCCACTTGACATAGTGTGATTGACCAAACATACAAAAACAGTGTTATTCCGTTTCATTTATGCAAGTATAGCCTGTTTGGGGCCCAATTTAATTTCTTAGGATTTGTTGATCAACAGCATTTCTTGGGATTTGTTAATTTTGATCAAAGTTATAGTTATAAACTTCTTGGTTTGCTTGCATTAGTTTTTTGTTTTTTTGTTTTCGTTTTTTTTGGAGTTACCTGGATCACCTCTCACATACACCTGGCTAGTGTCGGTTGTGGTAACGTGAGAAAACAAATGAAAATAGGCCACATGACATGACACAAATTTTTGTCTGAAGCCAAATAAAATTATGTAGCTAGCTGTAGTTATTAGCTCTTTGCTAGCAGCATCCTTGGGATACTGCCAAATGAACTGATTTATATCAGCACAACTGCACAAGCTGAACGCCGGCCACAGCAGGCAGTTGAACGTTGACTAATAAATAATGCCTCTCGAAAGAATGACCAATCAATTGATTTCATTGACCTTATAGGCTATATCCAGACATATATGTGGAGCGAGAAGAAAAATATGAAAGATAGCGAAGAGCAGGGCCAAGCATATATAAATGCATCTATGGATAGTTGGCCATTAATGGCTACAAAAAGAGAAGTAGAAATGGCTCTCACCTTGTTGCTGCCGTCTAAACCACAAGTAGCCACATACATCATATACGTAACACTCAATGCATTCATACCTTTCATTATTTTTCAACCATATGGAAATGAGGTAGAGTAGAGGCCATTAGTGTGTGTGGGGGGGATTAAATGACTCTTAATGATGGATTGAGTCATCATGCCACCATTCACACTTTAGCTAATACTTGGAGACGTCTTGCAAATTACGGTTAGATCAGCTAGATGTGACAATGTACATGGTCCATTGTGTCCGAGTTTGATGAATCACTATTTAGATTGAGTGGTTTAGAGTAATTCAGAATATCGCATTGTCAAAATAATAATTATTAAAAGCATTTATAACAATCTCTCTCTAAGAAGAAATGAGACGTATGTATATGGAGAAGCTAGTCACATCACGAATCATCCGTAATGTAGTTCAAGTTTAAGAATTTTCTATAATTTTTTTTTAAAAAAAATACCGGTAATCAAAATCCAAGAAAAATAAAATTCAGCTAAAACATCATGTTTAACTATTTGATTAACCACATTTTCGTTTCTGTATCTAACAAACTATGCTCTTTTTTTGTGTGCATACTTTTGATGAAAAAAAGCTTTCGATTTGGATGATGTTTTACAAAGATAATCTAAAATATAAACGGTTCCAATTATTAAAATACATTGTTGCATAACCCTAAGAAAGATGCATGCATTTTTCTTACAATAAGGTCGATCTTAAAACTATAAAATATATGTTTTATATAGACTGAGAATCTGAAGTCGGTCCAAATCTATGTACATAAAGAGAACTTTTGAAGTGGATTCAGGAAAGTATATGGGAGTACTTTGCACTTTTTATCAGGCAATGCGATGCAAAGTCACAACTTTTGCCCACCAAATCATACTAGGATGGGATCCACTTTGCACCTTATAACTCAGCATATAACGCTCCACTATGTAATTACCAATACCAAATATATATATTATTCTCTTATTTAGATGTCCGCAAGTTATTATCGTACATATATTATTGTAAATATACAAGAAGACAAGGAGATGTAATACAAATATATGGCGTCCGCACGATAATAACATCCGGACATATAAGAATTTCTGTATATATATATATATTCAGCTTAATTCCAATAATATTTCACCTAAATGAGTAGGCAAAGAAGAAGTAGCAGAACTAAAGTAGATATGGGGAAGCACGCATATACATGATGAAAGTCTTCTGAGAGGAACCTCATCATGATTGATCTTGTCAATGCCCTATGATCAACATACAACTAAAATACAAACCTTGTTTATGCGCGCATGCTACAAACCAATCTAGTAGCTCTCATCTCTAGATTGATTAATGGTCGAGAATATGATTATGTCCCCAAATTTAATTATGTGGATTAAGATACACTCCTTATTTATGTACCCGCAAACAAGTTTGGTTTGGCTATAACATATTTGGTTGTGGATTAAGATACACTCCTTTATATATGTACCCGCACGCAAACAAAGTTTGGTTTGGCTATAACATATTTGGGAAGAAAGAATCATTAGTTTAGAATATTGCATGTATCACGCTTACGGGTCACATTATCAGCTTTCGGTATGTGATGATCGGTAAATTAAGGGTTGTTTATTCTTAGTTTTAATCCTCGATCATCAATATTTTGTAAGAATTATGTAAAGAAAACAAAATGAACCAAGAATTGAAGAACTCTCCACAAAATTCATTCTATTATATATATATATATATCATCTATACACTGGTCTGGTAGTACACAGAAAAACTTCCTACAGTAGATGATCATCACAGAAGAATTGCAAAATCAACAAAGTGAAAGAAGAGAAAAAAGAAATTATGGGTTGTGCTTCTGTGTATAGATATAATCAATATGAGCCGCAAGCGTTCTTCTCATGAGGCACTCCTCTTCCCCAACTCCCTCACAGCTTTCCTCCACCATGGCCTTTTCTACTTCAACATCCTTCAACTGAAAAAAAAAATATCATAAAGAGAACAAAAGATTAGCAAAAACCCATAAATATTTCATCACAAAGTTACTAGTTTATTTATAATATGATTTGGGCTGAAATTGCTTAATTAGTTGATTAATTATTAATTACCTCATCTTGAGCTTTCATTGCGTTGGCATCAGAAGCTGAAGGCAGCGGCCGAGCTGTGGAGCAGCTTAATGAGAGGAAGAGGATGAAGGCTATGAAGCAGAGGCTGGTGAGCTTGGAAGCCATGTTTTTGCTTTGCACTTTGCAGATTCTAAGACGATGAGCTTTTGTAGTTTGTGAGGATGGGACTGTGTGGAAGACTATGTATATATAGGAAGCTGCTGGTCATCACAAGGGCAAATGTAGAATTTTAAAATGAATTGGATGATCGCTACAGCCTTCTAGTCGTTGACTGCTTTGAGAATATCTAGAAGATTATTAGCCGCAATTGATTTAAGTGGATCAAATGTGGATTTGTATTTAAGCAAGTGGATTTTATGTGGACTCAATTAATTTTTTATTCTTTCTTTCGTAAGAACCGGATATTCGAATTTAAGATTTCTTCTAATAAATTGAAGCGATCTATACCAAACACAATTTTGTATAGCAATTTTTCCCAATCTCGTTAACCTTGCCTGGCCTAGCCTTAATAGGCAGGGATGAAGATAGCACTCCCCAACGTTATTCCCCATTTAAGCTTTGTATGATTATGTGTTGCGTTTTATGTGATTCTGCGTTACATATACTAAATTACAATTCTAATCATTTTATTAAGAAAATTAAAATAGTTATCAAGGGCCCCCTTATCCAATATGGTTCCTGTTCCATAGGGATGGGAATAGTAATTGCAAATTTAGACCCAATTCGCCTTGTTACCATTCCTAGTTCATTACCTAAAAACTTTATTTTTTGTCCCTATACTACCCCGATTGCTATTTTTAAAAAAATTAAAAATATATATATTGAGTAGACTAATAGCTAATTGTTTATTCAAATTTTTTCGAATTCTTCTGTAATTTACGCATGGCTAACAAAAGAAGTAATTAATATTGTTGAATTTATTAAATCCCCATGTTCATAATAGGCATGGCCAACTCGTTTAGTGTAAATATACCTAGTACGGTGCGGTCAGCTAAGCTTAGCTAAGTGATGCCGTGTTGGCGTAGCACCCTGGCATGTGAACAAACAAATATTCTCCGCGGGGTGTCACGGTTTAAACATTCACGCGTTGACAAAAGCCAAAAACACGCAAACAATGCCTCTAGAATTTGGATCTTGTCTTCATTTAATCTAAATTGCCAAAATTGGATTAGTCCAAAATTAGCGTACCTGTCCCTCCAATGTCACCTGGATTCTGGAGGAAACTTCCCAGCTGACATTGTTTTGTCACCTTCTGAATATTTAATTAAAGGATTAAAAAGACTTTTCCATTTAATTACAGGTAAAAATACACTGAAAAGAAGAAGAAAAAAAAAACTAATATGACATGCATACCATTGGAAGAAACAAAAAATGTTCGATTTTTAAAAGTCGAGATGAACAAATCATAATTTGACACGTATTCATCGATTATCTTAAAAAGTGGAAGTCAAAATGTATGTGCACTATTATGATAACTCTCAGCATGCTCATTTGCCTATAGAATAGAACCCATGAGAAATTATGGGGGGGGTTTTTAGTCAAATAAAAATTGTCTCCTTAAAAAAATGTAGGCAATTTTTGTCAAATAAAAATGTAGACCATTCTTTTGGCATTAATTATTAGTTTGTTGGCTGTTGGTTGGGGATTGGGTGGATTGAAAGCATAAAGAGAAAAGTAAAGAGTCTAATAGGCATGACAATTGGTGGTAATTAAAGAAGCTTCTTTTGGTCATATTTTCAAGCTTGCAGCAGCCTTTTAGCTTTAGGCGAATCTAAGCTGTTAGATCACTATCCAGACCTCAACATCTCTGTCATGAAGTATGCAGGTGGAAATTATAACTTTTTAATTTTATTTTTAAATACAAGCGATATTAGGGGAGAGGAGAATTGAACCTAATACCTCATGTGCAAGAATAATTGCTCTTAACTACTTGAGCTACAAGTCTCTTGCGAAAATTATAATTTAGTTATGAGCTTAACTTTGAATTTTGGTGGCTCACAAAAGCTCTCCAATATGCGAGTGAATTATGAACCGTCCTAGAAAAGTAGTGCAGAAACCATAAGTAATGGGTTTTACTAAAGTCTTCCGAAAAAAGTCAAAAACAATGAATTAACATTGACTAGACAAATTTCTGATCCATTGTATGAAGAATCGCTTCTAGTACATTGTTGAAATAAGTAGCAAAACTACTATGCTATGCATGGCATAATTGCATGGGACATGTTGCAGCGATCATTTTCCCAATTTGTATTCTTTGAAATCATGCTTGCTGCATCTTTGTGAGTAAAGCTAATATTCATAAGTTTTTTTTTGTCTCCTAGGTTTTTCCCTGGTCCAATGGATGAGTTACACAACATACAAATATCCGTCATATGTTTATCAGTCACTAGAAACATTCTTTTACTTGAAGCACGTCGCTTCGAAGGCTGAAGAGAAGCCCCCAGACCACCTTCAACTTCCCATTTGTGAGCAAAACCACAGAATGGAAGTGATTCTTTTCAGCCCCCTGAGAAACAAAAGGCTCTAGCAGAAAAAGAAGCAACGTCTGCATGATTGTGTCAACAATGGAAGGGCAGGCAAAAGAAACAACTCAAGAACTCTCAGGCTAGGGAGAGGTTGGAAAAGTAGTCTACAAGCAAGCCTGTTAATGGGGAAAACTAGGTGGAAACAGTACAGCATAATACAGATAATTCTTAGTAAACGAAAAGGAAAATATATATTTCCACAAATATATATCATAGCACTAGAAGTTCAATGGAAAACAAATATTTTGGCAATATTGAAAAAAGTTTAAACACGGGCATAAGCAATTTGTAGGATGAAACAACTACCGACTTTCCCCAACATCGCCAAATTCCCCATCTTCTAGCTCATCGTGATCACCACTTCTACGAGAACCATTCCGGTGATCTCTTTTATGTCTTCTATGTCTGCTTTCGGTATCTGATTCATGACCAGGTGCCTGCTATGCAATAACAATAGGAAACGAGGTAAAATTTATATCAGTGTTTAAATAATATATCAAATGAAAGGTCACAATTATTATCAACATACCCGTCTTGATTTCTTGTGGTCACTGCTAGATCCATGAGATCTTTTAGACCGATCATTCTCATTTCCATTGGCATGATCTTCATCACTATGATGGCGCTTCCTATGTTTCTTATTATCATCTTTCCCGGACCTCTTTTTCTCTTTGGAATCATGAATGTCCGTTACATCAGCAATCTCACTGTCTAAACCATCTTTCTTAAGGCGTTCCTCTCTTTCTCTTTCATATTCTACCTCTTTTTCTCTTCTCTGCTTCGTCCGTCTCCTTTCTCTATCATCTCTGTCCTTTTCCTTCTTTTCCTAGAGGGTGTAGAAAATTATAGGAATTCATTGCGTTAAATTCAAGGTCTCATATTAATGGACAAGTAATACATGAGAAGTGGCTGAAGTTTGCTAGTATCATGCTTTCAGTTCAAAATAATCATACGTAATCAACAATACAACAGGATACAGCATTAAGTTATTACTCTCTTATTTTAACTTTATTTACTTTCCTTCATTAGTAGCCTGTGCTATTTTATAACTCCTTATTTAAGCTAATAAACATTAATCAACTCAGCAAACCCATATTTAAACTCTAAAGGTTCTATTAATGAGAACATAATCCTCTCATATCATTACATTGCATCTAGCCATATATTATTATATCATGTAATCATAACCTCCATTTACAATTTTGGGATTCCTTGTGAACACCCTTCTAGAAATAAAAACACTCATCATAAAGTTATCTAAAAAATGGTTTAGACAACAAAAGTGTGTCTAGCCATGCAAATAATCATACTTTGTATAAAAATAAACATAAAGAATCATATATGTATTCACTATTCAGTTCTATTTATACAACTATAATCTGTCAAAACAACGCCAAATGCAAGCTTAACAACAATTCAAACATGAATACAAGTACTCTGCATACCAGATGTAAACCCTGCAGGTGTTATATTCCACATTCAAAAGAGAATAATAGCTCATGTATCAGACATAGAAACTGATTTACAAAATTGTGATCCAACTAATTAGTACCTTTTCCTCCTTTCGTTTTCTCTCTTTCTCTTTTGCTTGTTCTTTCAGTTGCATTACATGCTTATCAAATATCTCCTTGCAGAAGCTCTCTTCACCAATAGCACTACACAAGCATCCAAAATAATCATGCAATAGTCAGTTAGAGAACAATGTTATTTGTTAAAGTCTAAGAAAACTAAAACAAACTCGTCCAGCTCAATATAAATTATTCTAAGCTTCACTTTCAAATTTCAATTCTATGTTCCTTTAAAGTTTTCTTCATTTTCCACAATTTTCTTTTATACCAAAATGTAAGAAATAATGTAAACTTCTCAAGTGCCTACGTGTCTCCACTACTGCCCTAAACATCAGCCAGACAGTAGCGATCTCTCAGATATTAAACTCCAGGCACAAAAAGTGAATGTCAGAGATACTTTAGGAGTCATAAAATCATGCTTCTATGGAACAGAAGTCACTACATGAAATTAAAAGAAAAACAACAAATAACATTATTATGAGCAGAAAAGATAATTCAAAGGTGATTTAAGTTATTAATAAAATATACCTGCACTCTTGACTACCTTCAAGAAGTGATTTGTAGTCCTCCCACTTAGAAGATGGAGTTATCTCCTGTAACAAATAATGAATCAGAGAGATGACAAAAATTTAAGCAAAATAGAGAAAAATTATGTTACTGCTAAACCATTAGGAAAATGAGAACATCATAATATCATAAGTTGGCACACAGCATGCTACACCTTGATAGAAGATAAGAGATGAGAGAAGTCATCTGCAAGACGTTTACGTTTTTTAGCTTCTTTCTCCTCCTTCTCCTTCACTCTTTCCAATAACTCATCAAAAACTAGCTGCAAGGCAGTTGAAAATCACACTAGATCATTGTAACACATGGTACAATGACAAAGAACTTACTGTAGAAGCTACAGTATAGGATAAAACCAAACATAAAAATAACCAATCCATAAATGAATTTTATCAACAGAAAAGAGCCTTCAACAGATCAGCCCATTCCTTGCCACATGGAAACTTCCCTGGTGAAGCCACTTACATTAATTGACACTTTAAACATCACACATGAAAAAAAATATGGTTGCACAAGGATGTTTTCCTAGTGTCC